ACTGATCCATTTTCCTTGCATGGTGCTGTCTGTAATTTCAGGATCAGATGAATAGGAGTTAGAATGGCAGAACTCTACGAAAAGTCCCTTTAAATATATCTAACTTCATTTGGAACCAGGGTTCACCCCTGTTCAAGTTTCCCAAATGGGTATTCTCATTCTGATTTGTTTCAGAATGCCACCTGTGATCAGAGAAAAATGTAACTCTTGATTCAAAAAGAGTTGAGCATTCAAGAGCTGAGTATGGTGGTGTGTACCTATAGTCCCAGATACTCAAGAAGCTGAGGAGGAGGATCCCTTGATCCCAGGAGTTCAAGACCAGTTTGGCAACACAGCAAGACTCTGTTTAAAAACAAACAAAACCCAACCAAACAAAACCCCCCAAACAAAACTTCCAATCCAAAAAAAAGAGTTCTGTATATTCCCTCTTTAAGTACCAATGACCAACTTCCATAGGGATATCACAGAAAAGGATTCAAGAATCTACAATAAATGAGTACAATGGATCAATTAGGGGGTTTATATGATGGTGATACAGGACACTAGGTGGCTGTGACCAAGGGAAGGTGTTAAATATGTAAACAACTTCAACAGAACTCAAGTGCTGACACAGTTGTGGGTACAAAATGTTATGACAGCCCACAGAGGAGGAGTGACTAATTCTGTCTGGGAGAGTCATCTGGGCATGTGGAGTAATGGAGAGTAATGGAAGATGAAAGTAAAAAGAGTCAGATTAAGTCCCCCAGTCCACTCCCAAGGCTTAACAACTACCCCCATCAGTCAACAACTTCCAGATCTGAAATTCTAGCTTCCATCTCCAGTCTCTTCTAAGTCCAGGTACCTCACACAAAATGTAACACTCTTACCTCCCCCAGACCACCTCTTCCTTTATTTCATCTTCTGCATTGAGTCAGTATCCAAATTATGAAACTCAGTGTCATCTTCTTCTATTTCTCTCTATCCCTCAACTTTAAGTAGCCACTAAGACCTGTCAATTTAACTCTCAAAATGTTTCAAACCATAATTTCATTGTCTCTTCATTCCTTCTGTTCTGGCTTGCATCTGTTTTCCTTCCAAATTCACAAACTAGTCTCTCTACTCCAAGCTATTCCAATTTATCCATTCATTCATTTAACTGAATGCAAGGCACCATGGATACTGCAGCAAATAAGACTTACAAACAAAATTATCTTTTTAATGAAACTTTCTATTCATTCATAGTCAATTGTTTTCTTTGGGCAGTAGTGGGGATTGAACCAGGAGCACTCTACTACTGAGCTATATCTCCAGCTTTTTATTTTGAGACAGGCTGGCCTCAAACTTGCAACCCTCTTGCCTCAGCCTCCCAAGTGTCCAGGATTACAGGTGTGCACCAGAAGGTCTGGCCCAAATTCCTTTTTTAAGTTAATCTGCTCATTGCACACACTAACTTCAAGTCTTAATAGCCTTCCACTACCAACAGGATAAATTCCTACCATGGTCCCACCTCTTGTTTTGCCACCCTCTCACAGGTCCTTTAAACTCCAGAAACAGCCAGCAACTTTCCTTCTATTTAAACGGCATGTGCATTTTCAGCCTTTACCACTTTGGCAAATGTTACTTCCTATGTTTGTAACACTTTTTCCTCTTTGTAGGAATACCGGGAATTCCTATTGTAGAGATTTTGAGTTTCTATGTTCAATCATGGATCACATCACTCAGCGTGGAAATTATGTTCAGAAGTGTGCTTCTCCCACTTGATTGTGAGCCTGTTGAAGGAGAGGAGCAGTACCACATTCACTGCTGTGCTCTGTGTGTGGGTGAACTTATAGCAGTCACTCTTTCTTGCAGGAGAAAGCAAGGAAGCAGCACAGAATCTGGCTAGGTGAGGAAGCAAAGGTCAGGAGAGTTAGGAGCTCAATCTTCACCTAATGACCTGTTTAAAGAACTTATTTGTGAACAAATACTCTGGTGTCCAAGGACAGTGTTCCCTTTAGGGGTGTGTTTCTCAAATACAGAAAGACTACCTTTAAAACAGCATGTAGGTAGCAGGACCTTCCATTCTTGTTTTTCTTCCAAGTTTCTGATTTGGTTGGGGAAAAACAACTGTGGTACAGCTGTGGTAACTGGTCTCACTTTCCCTTCAAAAGCACTAACTCCAGGTGGATCCTTACTGCAGCTCTGCAATCGGACACTTCTCTCACTAAATTGTTTCATATTTTCTCTCTCCCAAAAGTCTCTCATAATCTTTCCTGTTTCACTAAGAAAGAGGATACAATCAAAAGACCGTCCCCAAGTTCCCACCACATCTCATATATTTTGTGTCCTTCTTGTGACTAGGGAAAACTGTGCTTTGAGCTAAGGTAAACACTTTCCACTTGGGCAACAGATCCCATTCTTTCTTGTTTACTTAAGCACTCCAGTTAATTCTAACTTTTCTCCTGATTCATCAGTCCCTCCCCTTCACTAGCCATTTCCATCAACTTATAAACATTCTCTACTCCCTCCTAAAAATAAAAACAGAATTTAAAAACTCTCAAATCCCCTTCTAATTTCAGCTCCCACGCCATGGCTCCTCTTTCTAGAAACTGTTCCAAACAGCTGTCTTAACCAACTGTCTCCAATTCCTTACCTCCCATTCTCTTTTCATCTATGCCAATAAGATTTTTGTTCCTACCATTCCTAACACTATTCCTTTCAAGTTCACCTAAGACCTTCATTTACTTAAATAGTAAAACACATTCCTACCCTCTGTAGAGTTTCCTCACTTGGCTTCTAGGATATCATTCTTTTGCTTGTTCTTTTTTTTTTAATAAATCCTTTTTTTTTATGCCTCTGCTTTTATTTATTTATTTTTATGTAGTACTGAGGATGGAACCCAGGGCCTCCCACACACTAGGTGAGTGCTCTACCGCTGAGCCACAACCCCAGCCCCTGCTTGTTCTCTTATCTTAGAGGTCCTTACTTCTCAATCTCCTCTGCTTGTTCTTTCCCATTTCTTCCATCTGCCTACCCTAGGGCCTAGTCCTCTCCATCAATAAGATCTCCTGGTTTTAAATACCATCTACATTGATAGTTCCAGTCCAAAGAGTCTCTGAATTCTAGACTCATATATCCAACTGCCTAACACGTCCTCTTGAATATCTAATAGGCACATAAAAACCAGATATGCTCAAATCACTCTCTCTCTCTCTCTCTCTCTCTCACACACACACACACACACACACATATATATATATATATATATATATATATATATATATTTTTTTTTTTTAAGTACGAGGGGACTGGACCCAGGGTGCTTTACCACCTGGGGTGCTACATATATTCCCAGTCCTTTTTTTTTTTTTGGAGACAGGATATTGCTAAGTTACAGAGGCTGGAGGCAGCCTACTGGACACAGTCCTGCCTCAACCTCCAGAGTTTCTAGGATTATAGGTGTGTGCCACCACACCTGACTAAAAATCAAAATCTTGAAACTATTCTTCCAACCTGTTCTTTCCAGTCTTCTCTATTTAAGAAAATCGAAAGTCCATTTTTCACATTGTTCAAGCCAAATTAATTGGGACCACCACTGAGCCCTCTATTTATCTCACACTACACATTCAATCTGTCATCAACTTCAACTGGCCCTACCCTAAAATGTAACTTTCATTGTAACTATTATTGCAATGGCCTCCTAACACCTACTTTCAACATATTAGGGAGGTGATCTTTTGTCACCTGAGACCTCAAACCATCTAATGGCTTCCCATCTCAGATTAAAAAACCACGATGGACTATGAAGTTTATAATGTCCATCCATCCCTTACCCATCTGATCTCATCTTGTTCCATTCTCACCCTTGCTCATTCAACTCCAGCCACAACAGGTTCCTTTTATTCCCTCAACATGCTATCCAACCTCACAGTTTTTCTACATGCACCTCACTCAGCCTGGAAGATTCTTCTCCCACTTATCCAGATGGTTGATTCTCTCACATTTTTAACATATTTGGATAAATGACACTAAAGTGAGACCTTTCCCTGGTTTTTCTGCCATGACATTAGTTACTTTAACACACTTTACTGTGCTTATGTTGTTTACTGTCTACTCTCTCTATTAGAGTTCAAAAGAGTTCTATAGCGAAGATCAGTAGTAACATATGGAAGTAGCACAAAAGGTGATTTGTTGAATAATTATATGAGAAATTCTCAGTTTGCTGCTATAATTAATGTCTTCAGTACTCAACACTTGCTAATCCCCCTTTTATGGCTAAGTCCCTTTGCTGGTCAAATTTTTTAATTGCTTTCATTTTACTTTTTCATTACTTTTTACTTAACATACTGGGTTACTATTCTTTTAAAAAATTATTTTAAACTTAATACCTATTTTTAAACTTAGGAAGTGAGGTTCTTCCAAGAAAACCTTAGGAAATTTATAGTGCAACTAGCACAGGGACATGGCAAAAAGAGTGAAAGTGGTATTTGAATGCCTGAAGTTTAGCAACTTTCTTGGAGTAGGGTTGTCAGATAAAAACAAAACAACCAGTTAAACTTGAGTCTTAGACAAACAATGAATAATCCTTTTTTTTTTTTAGTATTCTGAATACTGCAAGTGACACACTAAAATTTATTCCTGGCTTATCTTAAATTCTCTATGAACTTTTTTTTTTTTTTTTTGCTAAATCTGGCAACCCATCTTAGGCAAACAAACTGCACCCTGTTTGTTGCTTCCATTTCGATCTAAGATAGCAATCTAGTAGAATTCTTGTCCTATCTACAGTCTGCGTAGCTTTTGCGCCCCAACAAATGTGTCCTTGTGGGCGGTTACTGAGGCCCCAAATCTTAAAAACCTAAGAGGGAAACACCCACAGTGCACTTTGAGAGAAGAAAGGCCAGGGCAACACAGAACAAGCAGGTCGGTAAGTCGCATTAGACGGGGGCGGAGTGGGGGTGGGGTTCTGGGCCCAGCTTCCTTTCCCAGCCTCAGTCACCTGCTTGGCGGAGGCCACGGCTTAGCAGCCACTTTCTGGCCCTTACCAATGTTGCCTTCGATGGAGAGCCTTCGGGGTCCGTGCCCCGCGTGCAGGCCCCTGGAGGAGGGCGCACCCTCGAGAAGGTTCTGGGCCATGGTACCGAAGAATGTGCGAAGCCCACTTAAAAAGAGACGGCCCACAGCCATCCCACGCACGCTCAGAGCGGTGCTCACTTCCGCAGAGAGCACTTCCGTCCAAGGTACCGCTGTTTACGCGCCTCGGCGCGTTACTGACGTCAGACGAACTCCAGGCAGGAAGTGGGTGGGGTTAAGCTGGCTGAGAGGGCGGGGCCCAAGGGACCCCTCTGTTTTCGCGCTGTTGGTAAAGTGTTGAAAGCTGGGAAAGTCTTGCGTAGTGGTGCGGTGCAGTTTGCCCATCCCTGGAGTTGCGACGGTGCGAAGAGCCCCTACGTTTTTGTGTAATGGACAAGAAACATTTGAAAAGGAAAAAAATGAAAAAAAAAAAAAAGCATTTAAAAAAAGACACAAGTGTACAATCCTGTCACTTTTGCATTTTTATAGACATCGAAATAATGGTAATTTTAAGAGGTCTCCCCCCCCAGGTGTTGGTTGTCTATTTTTTACTTAATATGGGAAATAACTGGACGATTTTAAGTAAGAAAATGACAGTCTTACACGAATTAATTTTTCCTATTCCCTGGAACTCCCAGCACAATGCTGGAACATTATTGGATAAATGAACAAATTAGTTCATTAGTTACACTCCATCTCTTATTTTGCCTCTTGAATAAATAAATAAATGTTCGCTCAATCAATTTGATTAATAACCAAAGAACCTCATCAGGATAAAGAGACGGAGGCCCAAGAATGTGAACCTGATAGGTGTGTGAACTAGGCGGGGGCAGGGGTGAGGTGCGGGGCAAGTGGCCAGAGGATTCAGAATCGGGTTGTAAAAGGCTGACACGGTAGAGACTTGCTGGTGCACTAAACCCAAGTTCTGCAGTCAGTGGAGAAAGTGCCCTGGGAGTTCTGAGCTGCTGCCACCAGTGAGGTCTGACTGGTTTTGACCTGCCACACCCCATGGTCACCAGAACCTCCGAAGTAATTACTCAGGGTCAGAGGGCGCTCCCAGGCCCTATCGCTTAAAACACAAGTCAAACCTGGAGTAGACAGGCCTGGCATTCATTGTGGCAGGACTTGATGTGGGAGGTTTTAGGAGGATCTGACTGATTACAATGTGAATGGGGAGACTGTCTCAGAGTGGTGAATGGGACAACTGGTTTGAAGCTGGCACAGAAATTACAGGCCCTTTTTCTTACGTTGATGTTTATACGGGATGACTGAAATCATGTTTGTATTTTAAGCACTGTTATTTTAAAAAACAAGTTGAAGATTTGTTTAGGATAACCTGGGTGGCGCTAATGGAGTTCTGAGTAAAGTCTGTCCTTTTCCTTCCTCACTTCTGCAACCGCCTCTGTGTAAAAATACTGTTTACATTTGTTTTTTTAGTTGTTGATGGAACTTTATTTATTTATTTGCAGTGCTGAGAATCAAACCCTGTGCCTCACACATGGAGGGAAGCGTACTACCACTGAGCCACAACCCAGCCCCTTTTTACTTTTCTTTGATTAAGTGGGGCATGGTGGCACCTGCCTGTTATCCCAGGAACTGGCGGGGTTTAGGGGGAGGCTGAGGCAGAAGAACCTCAAGTTCAAGGCCAGCCTGAGCCCCCTCCCCCCAAAAAAAAACAAACAAACAAACATAAAAAGGGGTGAAGATGTAGCTCAGTGGTAGAATTCCCTGGAGTCAATTCACAGTACTCAAATCAAACAAACAAACAAAAATTTCTTTAGCTGTGTAAACTCAGAAAATATTCATCCAAAAAAGTTTGACAGACTGTCTGCATCCTTAGAGTCTGGGCCCATGAGAAAGTTAAATGAAGCCTTATTCAGGTTTATATTCATGCAGGCAACTAATCTGCCCTTAAAAGTTATTTTTAAAAAATTTGGGCTGGGGTTGTGACTCAGTGGTAGAGAGCTCGCCTAGCATGTGTGAGGCACTGGGTTGGATCCTCAGAGCCACATAAAAATAAATAAATAAAAGTATTGTGTCCATCTACAACTAAAAAAATTTAAAAAAAACTTTATAATGAAGCATAATATGTATGAGGAAAAGAGCATATACTGTGAGTGTACAGTTCAGTTAAATGTTCACAAACTGTATACTCCCATATTACCTGGATTCAGATGAAGAAAGGCATTACCAGCATCCTCAGAATGCCCCCATGTCCCCTACCAGTTACTATCCCTCAAGGGTAACCACTAGATTGACTTTTAACAGCAGAAATTAGTTTTGCCTGTTCTTTATATAAATGAGATCATTTAAGAAGTACTTATTTCATTTGACATAATATCTGTGAGAGTTATTATGTCATGTGCAGTAGTTGTAGTTCATTCATTTTCACTGCTACATAGTATTCCACCATGTCACTATACGATGTATTTTAGCCATTCTACTATTGATGAACATTTGAGAGTTGCTAGATTGAAGCCATAACAAATAACGTTGCTATGAATATTCTTTTACATGTCTTTTGGTAAACAAAAGTATGTATTTCTCTTGGGTGTGGAACTATTAGGTTATAAGTTATGTGTATACTCAGCCTTAGTAGATATTCCTAAATATCAAATAATTCCATAATGTCTGATTATCCTAGTTGACACGGCCACCATCAATGAGAGATAGTTTTGGTTGTTCCACATTCTTACCAACAACTGATATGACCACCTTTTTTTCACTTTATCTATTCTGTGTGTGATGGTGACTTGCTATAGTTTTAGTTTGCATTTTCCTGCTGATTAATGAAGTTGAATAGCTTTTCAAATGTTTATTGACTGTTTGAATATCTTTAGTTGTGAAGGATCTGTTCAAGTATTGTGCTCATTTTTCTATCGGTTGTCTTTTATTTGTCTTGTTCTTTATATAATCTGAGTATGAGTCCTTTGCAAACATTTTTCTCTCCCACTCTGTGGTTTGTTTCTAAAAGGGTTCTTATTTTTTATGTTCGGTGTTTAGTATAAATTAATAAAACAAAATATACATAATGGAGTATTTAGTTACCCAATACTGTCATTAGTAATGATCTTCCTATCCCCCTTTATTTATTTATGCTTGTTTGATTATTATACCATACATAAAAAGTCAGTATCTTTCTTGGTTCTAATTATAAATTCCTAGGAGAGAGAATTAGATCAGCCCAACTGTCATCAGACCAAAAGGAAGATGCATTTGGAAGCTTAGAAGACACCTGAGTTCCAGGCAGGAATTCCTAAAGCTGTATTGGTCCAATTATCTGTGGCCAAGGAATAGGAGCTCACAGAATAAACATAGGTGTTGGGATCCCATCTCTATGCATGAGAAAAGAAGACACCAAAAGGGTGGTGATTAGTTCCTACTGGCAGTGGCAAACAGGGTGTTTTGCAGAAAGTAGTGGCATATTGGTGAACAGAATTACCTCCCACTTGCCTGGAAAAATGAGGCACTTTCTTCTCCTGGGTGATTGTCAGAGATCTGCTGGAGTTTATGAATAAGAGCTAATGTGGTGGTACTTCAGGGGACTCTAGTCATGTCACATCCATTCATTGAATCCAATATTTGCTGAGCATCTACTAGATGTCAGACACATTGCTTGGTCTTGGAGTATAGCTCTGAAAGATGTATTATTTTCCAAATGATTGTAAATGCTACTGTGATAAATAAAATGCTGATACATATTATAGAAAATGCTATGCAGCCATTAGAAATTGGAGATAAGCATACAAAACGTGACTTTCTTTTGCTGCCTGGATTTGCTACATCTCATCTGCATCAATACTTTTCTAATGTGCTAAACTCATTTGTCTTTGTTGAAAAGCATGTTTCCGGAATGCCCTGCCAACAGGGCTCTTACCTGAGCTAGCCATATGAAGACCTGATGTGAGATTTGGAAGGCAGAATGAGATCACCAGCCACTCCTCTGGGGGAGATCATCACTGTCAGATACTATGACAGACAAACATGCCCAGTAGATGGATCTCAGCTACCTCCCCATGCAGTAGTGAGCCCTCTCTAATTATCCTACAATTCTTTTGCAGACCTTCACTTCCCTAACTCCTCCTACCTTTGGGTAAAGCCTCATTCCTGTAATAAATTCCTTACTCCCAAAATACTCACTGGTGACTCTGCTCCCCTGAAGGCACTCCAACAGCTATACCTAATTATAAAGGGAGGCATATAGGGAGATGTTTAAGAATGTGGCCTCGGGCTGGAAGTATAGCTCAGTGGTAGAGTGCTTGCCTAGCATGCTCAGGGGCCTGATCTCCATCCCCAGCACCACGAAATAAAATCAAGTAAAATAAAATAAATGACCTGGGTGAGGATTAGGAGGGAGAATCCACTAGCAGTACCTGTCTTTCATGTTCCTCAAGACACTATTCTTCTAGATAACTCAATATCCACTGAAGTACTGGGGATTGAATGCAGGGTACTTTACCACTGAGCTACATCCCCAGCCCTTTTAATTTTTTATTTATTTAATTTTTAAATTTATTTATTTATTTATTTGAGACAGGATCTCACTAAGTTATTTAGAGCCTCACTATATTGCTGAGTCTGGCCTTGAATTTGCTATCTATCCTCCTGCCTCAGCCTCCTGAATGCTGGCATTACAGGCTTGAACCAACATACCCAGCAGTACTTTTTTTTTTCTTGAAAAAAGAGTGGGGTAGGAGAAGGGGAAAGTAGTAGAAAAGAGGAAGCGGGAGGAGGAAGTGGTGAGGGAAGTAAGATGGGTATGGGGGATCAGATGATAAGCCTACCTATCTTTCCCCCATGCTGTGATTCCAACACACCCCTCTAAAGCAGGTGGTGTTAGTGCTATCTGTCCTGGTGTGTATGTGTCTGTCCTCTAGCCTCCTCCTTGTGCTTTCTCTTCCAACAGCCAGCCTTTTCTTCATATCCTCCTGGAGTATATCCTCACTAATTGCTGGAAGGTGTGGGACTGTGAAATCCAGCCTTCCTGCCTCCAGTCAGGCTCAGCTTAGACTCTAGAATTGCAGTGTGGAGATCAGGCTGAAGCTGCCTGCTGGGGCACTTTGCCTGAGATCATCCCCTTGCTAGGCTTCCTCTTTCTTCTTGTGCCTCTCCTAGTCTATTTACCAGGTTTCCCTGAGAGCACTTCCTTAGTAAGTCACTTCATTTCAGGAT